ACTCTGCCAGATTAAAAAAAAAAAAGGCACAGCAATCTAAAAATGTTTTTTCAGAGTAAAACATGCTTCACTTCTTGAGGTACACTCTCAACGGAATTGAAAATTCTCCTGTGTTCTTACAAACACTTGTATATGAATGTTCATGGCAGCACTATTTATAGTGGCCAAAGAGTAGAAACAACCCAAATGTCTGTTAATGGACAAATGGATAAGCAAAATATGGCATACCCATACTGTGGAATATTATTCAGCCAAAAAAAAAAAAAAAAAAACAGACTAAAATACTGACACATATTATAGGATTAACCTCAAAAACACTATACCAAGTGACAGATGCCAGACACAAAAGGCCACATGTTATATGATTCCATTTATATGAAATGTCCAGGATAGAAAAATTTATAGAGATAGTCAGTAGATTAGGAGCTGCCAGAGATTGGGGGAAGGGGCAGAGTGCAAGTAATAGCTAATGGACATGGGGCCTCCTTTGGGGTAAAAAAGGTTCTGGGACTAGATAGTGATGATGGTTGGCACAGCGTGGTAAAGATATGGAAAATCACTGAATTACAAATCACCAAAAATGGTGAATTTTATGTTAATTATGTATCACAATTTTAAAATACTAAGCGTTTGAGAAAATACTGAGTTTAGTTATAAATCATCTTCACTCTTCAGATAATTTGTCTACCAAAAAAAGGAGAGAGAAGAGAGAAATAGCTTGTTAAAACTCAAACAAAATAAAATATTTTTAAAGGACAACCTCTTCCTTCTTAATTATCCTAAATCTCTCTCCCCAGAAATGGCCACTGTTTAATAGTTTGGGGTATATTTTGAGACCTTCCTACAAGCATGCACAGACACACACGCACAGGTTCTTTTGCTTCATCTACGGAAAATAGAAAATGTTGCCCATGTGTCTGAAGAGGATTTTAATGAGTGTTTCCCATCCGACCAGGATTTATTCACCAAGGTTTTCGAGGTCCCTGTTTGTGCAGAGCCTGAGAAAAAAATGAAAAATTGAATCAGACAGGTGCCTATGGTCTAGTGGGAAAAGGAGTCTGTGTGTGACTGTCACGGTGTAAGGTAGGAGCATGGTGTACCAAGAGAGCTCCCAGTGGTATTCAAGCAGGTGTGCAGAGCCCTCTGTTTACAGGCCTGTCACCTGGAGCTTCCAGGCCGTCTGTTTAAGGACACATCAGGAGTTGGACTGGAGTAAAGTATTTATGGAATAAGAAATACAGAAATTGTGTAACTTTCATCTTATAACTGAAAGCTTTCTCCTCCAGGGAGAGGAAACAGATTAGTCTTAAATTTCAGAGTTCCTTCTCTGGTAATTTGAAGTGTCCCGCGCGGGCCTCAGAAAAGGATTTGTGCAGGCCGACCCACATGCGGATATACTTCTGAGTAAAGCCAGGTTCTCTCTTCCCAGTAGTAAATTAGACAGGTTGGCCGGCCTGCGGACCTTATTGTTTTGGAGGTGTTGGGAATCCCATGTGGTTTAGTTAGTAGGAACTAACTTTCTATCTGAAGAATTTTTCTTTCCTGTATGGACTTGAAATCAACTGTGATCATGGCAAAAAGAATAGATTCTTGTAACATTGGAAAGCCAGTGGTGTCTTGGCAATTTTTTTCTTTGTTCGTTTTATTTAGCGGCCCCAGAGCTCATGGAATCTGTCATTTGAGTTATTTCAAATCTAAACCCAAACCTGTAATTCTTTATGGCCTATGACAGCTGCAAAGCAGCAACGAGAAGCGTGGTGTGGTTGGCTCTGACAACAGGTCTCTCCCATAGAAGGCTCCGTTGTGCTGGGGATCAGGATCGCTATGCTTTCATCACAGCAGGTGAATCTGAGCACCAACCTAGCCCTCCAAACAGCAGGAGTCTGTATCCGCCCCTCAGGGCTTTCTTGAACAATATTTACCGATTGGGATACTTTGAGGGCTTCTCTGAAGGCTAGGGAGAAATTCAGAACCTCGGCCTGCCTGTGCCTGTGTAATTTGATGGACCCATCAAATCCTATTTGTGATTAAAAGGAATTCTTTGTTTTTAGTTTATTTATTGGGGGGTTGGGCAGAGAGAAAGGGGAGAGAGAGAATCCTAGGCCAGCTCCACCCTGTCACTGCAGAGCCCAATGCTGGGCTCGATCTCATGAACTGTGAGATCATGACCTGAGCCGAAATCAAGCCTAACCGACTGAGCCCCCACCCCCCTGGGCCCCACTAAAAGGAATCCTTTTTGCCACACTTCTCAGCGCTGTGCTGCCACTTCTTTCCTGTCTCAGAGATGCTCCATTGACAGGGGCACAGCCACAGTTCAGCCCCATTAAACACTGATGAGAGCCCCCACTCACTGAGCGCTCCTAGGAGCCAGCCTTTGTGTTTAGCATGTGGTGTACATGTGTCGTGCTTCACAAACACGGTCTCATTTGGTCTTGACGCAGCCCTGCGTGGTGGGCATCGGTATCCCTTGCAAGGGAAGAGCCGAGACTTGGAGGAGCTAAGCGGCGTGTCCAAGTGATAGAGCCTGGACTCAAACCCAGGCGATGGTGACAACAGCCACATGGTTGCCTCGGCCAAAAAGTGACTGATCCTTGATTCCTTTCTTTCCTTCACCTGCATTCACTCTCTCAACCAGGCCTCTTGGCTTTATCTCCTAAGTACGCCCTAAATCTGGCTGCCTGTGCCAGTCTCCACAACATTAGGTTAGTCCACCCCTGTATCTGTCTTTGCCCGGAACCCTTAAACTGGTCTTCTCGCATTACAGTCCACCCTCCCCATAGCGGTGGAAGGATCTCTTAAAAATCTAAACTAGATCATATCACTTCCCTGTTTAAAACCCCCAGCGACTGCCCAGCTGCAGTGCAAAGAAAATCTCACCTTTCCCACGGCCCACGGAAGTCTGTGATTGGGCTCCTGCTACCTCTCTTTCCTCACATCCCCTGGCCTCCTTGCTGTCCCTCAGACTCACCAGGCCGTTTCCAGGCATTGCACGAGGTCCCTTGCTGATAGTGCTCTTTCCAGATCTTTGCCTGACTAGCTCCTTCTCATTCAGGTCTCTGCTCAAATATCACCTCCTTGAAGGGGACTTGTCTAATCACCTGTATAAAGAAGCACTTAGAGGGGCACCTGGTGGCTCAGTCGTTTGAGCACTGACTTCGGCTCAGGTCATGATCTCACGGTTTGTGGGTTCGAGCCCCGTGTCGGGTTCTGTGCTGACAGCTCAGAGCCTGGAGCCTGTTTCAGATTCTGTGTCTCCTTCTCTCTCTGACCCTCCCCTTCTCATGCTGTCTCTCTCAGCATGAGATGATGTTAAATAAAAAACATTAAACAATTAAAAAAAAAAAAAGAAATATTGTTTGAAAGATACATGGCTTTCTAAAAATAACCTAATTCTAAAATAAACTGTTTCCGGTTAACTTTACAGGGACTTTTTTTTTTCCCATAGCAGGCAAAGCAGCCAAAGTTTGGAGTGTATAAATTTTAAATGTTTGGTTGGTAGTTAGACCATATTGTTTCTCAGCAGGATACCATAAAAGTCATTGTCCCACTAATGGTTACCTTAAGCTAATGCATCGATCACAAGGTTTTTTTCCATATAGTCTTTATCTAGCAACATAACAGCATCCAAGTGTTTGGACCGAGAATGAAGTAGTTTACGTGAGTGTAAGCAGAATGGGCTTAAAGCCTAAACCAGACACCGGTGTGGTTTGTGCTTTTTATGTTCAGGTTTTTTATATTTTTTTGGATTGTTTTTTGTTATTTTGTTTCATTCTTTTTTTTTTTTTTTTTTCATTTTCTTGTATCTTCAGCTGATATCCTGATACTTAACAAAGTCGTTCACACTATAGTCCATGTGCTGTCCCTCCTGGCTTACGGGGTTAGTTCAAGTTGCTCCTCTGATATATATGAAAATGTCACATTTAGAAACACCCTCTCTACCTGGCTTCTTGTCTCCAAAGAGGCATTCCCTGCCCCTTCCCCTCACCCCCAGCACCAGCCAGTCCCTCTTCTCCTCCTTGTCCACTTAGTTTTCTCTCTGCTAGGACTCCCAGTGTCCTGGCATAAACAACATCTTCAGGTCAAATTTGTAAAAAATTCTAAGAGCTGCCTCAATTCTCTTGTTGCACTGGAATTGTCACCAGTGTCCCTTACATGTGTCATGGGCCCCTTCTCGAGAAGCCTTTTGCACACTTCCTCACATCTGATCCTTCAGGTAGTCCTGTACCTGCGACCTCAGGCCGCAGTGGCTGAGGGAAGTTAGGTGACTGGCCAGAGCTGAAGAGTTGGAGCCAAAGCCCGTACCTTGTGCCTCCAGCTTTCCCGCTAGCCTGTGTTCCCACTCAGCAACATATTTTAGAAGAGTGTTCATCATCCGGACCTGGGAAGTAATTTCTCCCCAGGAGATTTTGTTGTGCTTGGTGTAATGGGACTTATTTGGGAAGGGACTTCTGTCTGTAATCTAGAACACATAAGACTAGTTTTATAGTTTGTTCTTGAATTCCAACCCGTCCAGCATTTTGATTCATTCATATTCAGGGAGCAGCTAGTCAACGCCAAGCACCAGATAGAGGGTGAGGAAGACAGACATGATCCCTGTGATCATGGACTCTGGTGGGGATAAATAACTGGGCAGTTGCAGTAGTTTAATGAATACCTGGGTAGGGGACATACTGGGTGGGATGGAAACATGTAGCAGGGCAGCTAACCCAAACTTGACTGATGGGAGAGGCTTCCCAGAAGAAGGGACTTCTAATTTGAAGGCTGAGGATGAATGAGAGTTTCAGCCAGATTGGGATTGGGGTGGGCAATAAGGTTTTGGAAAGATGGAAAATAGTTTGAAGGCCAGGAAGTGAGAATATGCTTCATGTCATCTCCATTCTTGCTTGTTAGATCAGATTTCGTGATTCAGCTGTTGGAGAGACTAGAAAAAAAGCAGATCAGTGGCGAAAGGTATTGGGGATATGCTCAGATGATACCTCTTTCTCTTGCCTTCCTAACAGAAAAAACTTGAGTCTCCGCCCCAATCGACCAATCCCTTCCTGGAAGATGAACCAGCACCAGAGATAGAGGAACTGGCGATAGAGAAGGGAGACTTAGATCAAGTAAGTCCGGTTTGCATCTCCACATGCAACCTACCTCATGTTTGCTTCCGAGTGTGGGTCTGCTCGCTCCAAATATGGTCCTTTGGCTCTTGACCACCTGCAGAGATGACAGCTTTGGTGGCCTGAAAGAAAGCCTTTATCTGAAGGTGCATTCTGAAAACTGAGTGGAAGCACCCATCCTGCCCATCTCTGTTCCCCAAGAGCGCCCCCTGCAGGAATGACCAGCACGCACAAGCCTAATTGGCCCGAGCAGTGCGGCGGTTGGAACCCCTCCTTGCCTTGTTCGTCACCTCCTGTACCTGCCAGCCTAGCCCTCAGTCATGTCCACGTCTGGCGGCTGTGCCAGGGGCTCTGCTATCCCCCGTGAAGTTAGCAGCACCATCAGCTAGGCGAGGTCTGCAGTCAGTGTAAGCCAAGCCCTTGAGGTCTGGAAGCCATCGGGGCAGCTTGGAAACATCCAGGTGACCAGTGGCATATTTGGAGAGTTACTTTTCAAGGCACACTAACACTTTCATTTCCTTCGGATTTTCTGTCCAACTCTAAATTTCCTCTCCCTCCATCCTATAGCATGGTGTCCCTGCTTCACTGCCATTTTACGGCAGAGCGATTAGAGCAATAAATCCGACCTCTTCCTGTCTGGATTAGCGAGCCTTCTTTTTAATTTTCTACACTTGGCTGCCCGCGGGTTATTTTATAGTGTTGTTTTGCTCTGGGCACCACTGAAAGGGAGGCCGACTGGGAAGTCCGGCCAGGGAAACCTGTAGCCACGCGCTCTGCAGCTAACCCTGCACCCCCAGTGCGACGAGGGTCGCTGGACCATCGTGGTGGGAGCCAAGAGAACAAAATTTCCAGGAGCAACTCCGAAGCGATGCAGTAAAGTGTGTCTGGTCCACCGATTAAATAATTGTAATAATGTGGATGCTTCACATTTTCATGGGCTTTATAGTCTCAGAGTCTTGTGCATGCTCTGTTCCACTTCCTCTTCCCAACCCCCGTCTTTCTTTTTATAGGATTTTATATGAATGTAGTGCGTGCAGCTCAGAGAGGTCAAGTGATTTGCCGTGGGGTACAGAGTTTGGGCGTGGAGGAGCTAGCACTGAAAGCAAGGTCTCGAAGTCAGAGACTAGAATTCATTCCTTTCCTGGAGCTCTTTTGCTTCACCGGGGTGTCTCAGTGAAAAGTGGAAGACACAGAAATGAACCCCATGAACACAGGGGGATATATAAACTGAAAGGATACCTCACGGCTATATCCCAGAGATCGGTGGGATTAGGTATAACTGATTAAAGCCGTCAGCTCAGCTCGTGTGGGAGAAAGCAGGTTTCTTCTCACTAAAGAAATGCATCTCTCACATTTAGAGGAAGGACCTGGATAGGAAGAAGTCTGGATGTAGAGTTCATTTTTCTGCTGTGTCCTCCACCCACACTATGTTGCCTGCACCCTTTGCATTTGCTTTGGGTGGTAGTTCAGTTTTCAGGGCTCTGTGTCTTCCCAGTGCTAGTGGCCACCATGAAAAGTTATCCCTTTACCCAGTCATCGCCAGATGTCATTAAACTGGATTATGACACAGTCCCCATTACTACAAAATCAGTTTGGTAGATACGTATGATTTGTCTCCCTCATGGAGGCCAGAGGTTGTTGTTGTAAGGACCAGGGCTGCTCATTCCCAGGACACAGATATGGGGGTAGAGCAGAGCCGGAGTCTGGTCCGCTGTTAACACTGTTGACCATGTGATAGGTTTTTACTCTTTCTAGACTTCCCTAGTTTTTTTCATCTTTAGAGAGAGGCTGTGATTTTCAAACTATATTCCTAGGTTTCACATCACATGTCAGTGTGGGGAGCTGGGAGGAGACCAGTGCTCCGAGTCCCTCCAAAACAGAGTAATCCTCTTCTGAATCCCATCTCTCATGGAATTCTTCCAAACGAGGGGTTTGAGATCTGTTTAAAAAGAAAGTACCAAAAACCCCTGGACCAGAAGACCCACCTGCAGTTTCATTGGCCACTACTTGCTAGCGAGGACATGTGTACACCAGTGACTAAGGCCTCCTCACATGCCGTCCCCAGCCTCCCACGGCCTCGCCGGCGCTTGCCTTGCTGGTGGTCCATTAGGTGGGAGCTCCAGGATTTCCGTCTTCCCAGTCCCTTCCTGGCTTCTGGAGTTGGGTGCGCAGGAAGCGCAGGAGCCCCGTGGGGCCTCGGGGAGGAAGGCCACAGGATGCTAGGGGTGAGCCCAGCCCGCGGCTGTCCGGGTTACCTAACCCACTGCGTCACTGCCTAGGTAGACAGTTGGCCAGCAATGTGGAAAGGCCCCTCCCCGCTCGCTCCTGGAGCGTATGCTGGTGAGAAAGGAGAGTGAACTCAAGAAGAGGTATTTAGTTTGAGCAGTTGCCAGCCTACTTCCAGTGTTAAAAAACAACATCTGAAAGGGGACTGAGGGTGCCCAGAGACAAAGAGAGAAGAAATGAGGAATTTCTGGTTTAAAAATGTACCCTTCTGGTGATCAAGCAGTTAGATTTCATCTCTTTACACTGGATAGTAATAAAAGGAAATGGGGCCAGCTGCACAGCTCCTGACTGTGACAACAGTAACCTTCTATTAGTCCATCTAACTCCGAGAGGAAATAACTTAAACATCTGCGGCTTCTGGACAGAATTCACACACTCTGAAATGGAGCCCGAGTGCTACTGCTAAATGAGTTAGTGTGTTCTTTAAGCTGAGAATCAACCCTTTGGGGAGCTGGCCAGTGTGAAGGGAGACGCCAGTTTGAGCTGAATTCCAGCACCTCTTATCTAAATAGGAGCACAGTCATAAAGCAGCTACAGGCCGGAGGCAGCCCTGTGGACAAAAGGCAGAAAGGAAACTTCGGGCAGCCCCTCCCATTGTTCCCCTTTTGCTTCCAACTCACACTAAAAACGCTGCAAGGGACCTGGAGACACGGTGTCAGGTCTCCCTGCCCGGAGCGGTATTAGGGGCAGTCACCTGCTGTAGTGTTGGGGCGCCTGCGCGGTCTGATGATGTTCCGTGGGGTCCGAGTGTTGTTCCGTGGGGCCTCGTCGAGCACATTGTGCCACTTTGTAAAAAATCTTTATATGTTGGGGCGCCTGGGTGGCTCAGTCAGTTAAGCATCCGACTTCGGCTCAGATCACGATCTCACGGTTTGTGAGTTCAAGCCCCGCGTCGGGCTCTGTGCTGACAGCTCGGAGCCTGGAGCCTGCTTCAGATTCTGTGTCTCCCTCTCTCTCTGCCCCTCCCCAGCCTGCGCTCTGTCTCTCAAAGATGAATAAACATTAAAAGAAATTTTTTTTAGGGGCGCCTGGGTGGCTTAGTCGGTTAAGCGTCCGACTTTCTCTTAGGTCATGATCTCGCGGTTCGTGGGTTCGAGCCCAGCGTCGGGCTCTGTGCTGACTGCCAGCTCGGAGCCTGGAGCCTGTTTCAGAGTCTGTGACTCCCTCTCTCTCTGACCCTCCCCTGCTCACGCTGTCTCTCTCTCTCGCCTAGAAATAAATAAAAATATTAAAAAAAATTTTTTTTGTGTTTTTAAATAATTATGAACTACATAAGTAGTTGCGGAGTACAGAGAGGTCTCATTTACCCATCTCCCAGCCTCCCCCAGCTGCAAAGGCTACTGTAACTGTAGTGCGTTACTCAGTCTGTGCAGTTGCTTCTAACCCCCATTTTGCTCAGTCACGGAGGTCTGCATTTCCCCACACTGTTGTCCCCCAGGCTGTTCGAACATTGGTAATGTGGCATTGCTTGAGTGCTCCACAACACTCTCTGGGGTTATCTGCCAGTCCGTCGCCACCCATCTCCCAAGCTTTTTGTCATTATTTTTTACTTTTTAAAAAGCAAATACCCGGGGCGCTTCGTTGGCTCAGTCGGTTAAGCGTCCGACTTCGGCTCAGGTCATGATCTCACAGTTCGTGGGTCAAGCCCCGCGTCGGGCCCTGTGCTGACAGCTAGCTCGGAGCCTGGAGCCTGTTTGAGATACTGTATCACCCTCTCTCTCTGGCCCTCCCCTGCTCATACTGTCTCTCTCTCTCTCAGAAATGAATAAAACATTAAAAAAAAGAAGAAAAAGAAAATACCCAAATTAGAGAATAGTCTTAAGAATATTACAAGAACTCTCAAATATCTTTCATTTGGGTTTACCAATTGTTAACATTCTGCTACATTCACTTTATCGTTTCCTTTTTTTCCCTTCCCACTCCTCTCTCCCTCTCTCTTCTTCTTTCTCCCTCTCTCCCCACCTTCATCTCTGTCTCTATCTCAAGACAGTTTGTTAAGTTAGCAGGTATCGTGTCCTTTACCTCTAAATATTCCTGTGTGCATTTCCTAAGAAGGTCATTCACTTAAATCACCACAGATCAAAATCAGAAAGTGTGTATCAGTACAATACTATTATCTAATTTGTAGAGTTAAATTTCATAATGTAGCCATTCTAAGGTGATAAATTAAAATGTGTCAGTAATTGGAAAATTGCACATGAACTTGGAAACAAAACCAAATTCAAAATATACACATTGATTTAAAACATGACAACATCTAGGGCACCTGGGTGGCTCAGTCGGTTAAGCATCTGACTCTGATTTCAGCTCAGGTCATGATATCGTGGTTTTGGGGATCGAGCACCGTATTAGACACTGTGCTGTCAGCATGGAGTCTGCCTAAGATTTTCTGTCTTTCTGCCCCTCTGCTGCTCATTCTCTCTTTCTCTCTCAGAATAAATAAACTTTTTAAAAAATTAATTAAAAATATGACAACATTCTCTATTATATAATTTATATTCCACTTTGTAATTACCAGAAGGTATCCTGCAGATGTGTGAATATTTTTATCAAGGGAAGAAGATATAAATGAGGGGGATAATTATAATCCTTATAATGATTATATTTTATTAATAAAAAGGTACTTGGGTGTTGTGATTATATTTTCTAGTTCTAAAATCAGGATATCTAGTCTTACAAAAGTTAGACAAATCAGATTTGTCTATTCATTTAAAAATCACCTTATTGGAAAGAATAAAATAATAAAAAATAGGTAACTAATGTGGAAAATGTAGAACAGTTAGGTAAGGACCACCCCCACGCAGCCATCATACCGTGTCGTGGATCCGCCATGTTAAACTGATGGACATGCGGGAGAGGTTCCAGGGGCACCTGTGAAATGAAGTGGAGCTTTGAATCCCACCAGTTCAACTTTCATGAACCCAGTCTTGGGAGCCTCTTGTAGTCTTAGCCTAAGACCTGACTTTGGCAGTGGCTTTGGGATGAAAAGGGAAAATAGCCCAGATTTTAGGAAGGAGCAGAATTTCTAAAAATCTTGCAAAACAAAAACAAAACACCTAAAGACAGGGAACTCTCAAAAGGTGAAAGGGGAAGAGAGCTAGATATAAGATTGAATGGGATATGTCTCCAGTTGACATTTAATTTTTGGTATTCATATCCAATTTTTACAGTTGCTTTTAACCATTAGAGTGTTTTATTTTATTTTATTTTTTTAAAGTAAATTTTATTTTTTTTAATATTTTTATTTATTTCTAGGAGAGAGAGAGAGAGAGAGAGAGAGCGTGAGCAGGGGAGAGTCAGAGAGAGAGAGGGAGTCACAGACTGAAACAGGCTCCAGGCTCCGAGCTGGCAGTCAGCACAGAGCCCGACGGGGGGCTCGAACCCACAAACTGCGAGATCATGACCTAAGCGAAAGTCGGACGCTTAACCGACTAAGCCACCCAGGCACCCCTAGAGTGTTTTATTTTTAAAAGTTACTAGAAGAAGGGAATCATTCTTTCTCCTATTAGGGGCTCAGCTTTTTCTGTATTTATGAAAAGATATTAACAGCTCAATTCAATAAGTATGCTGTGGGTGTCAGTTTATGCCCAAATTGTATTCTAGTATGAGCCCGAGCAAGGCCTCAGGGTCCTTTCACTGGTATTTGACAATAAATGGAATTGACGTTTTTTAGGAATAGAACAAAATATGTAGGAAGAGATTTGCTTATTTTTTAGAGATTTTTGAAAAGGAATTAGAGAGCAAGTATAGTTTTTAAATGTTTGCCTACCTACATGGTCTGTATGTCAGTGGTTTTTAAGTATCAGTTGGGGACCAGTGCTAGCCCTGTTTTACACTGGTCCAAGCCAAAAAATAAAGACACAGCTGTCTGTTGCCTGCCTAGCTAGCAAGCTGATATAGGGTCACCAGCTGTCTGAAAAGGAGGGACTGCCCTCTTGCTGCTATGTTCTCCCTATAAAATGTTTGGGTATAAAATACTCTTTCTTTCAGGAACCTACCGAGAATGAAAAGTAGCAAAATAAAAAGTCACCAATGCTATATTGGTCCCTTACACTTCTTTTTCTTACATTTACTTGTCAGTGAAATTCAACAATCTAGGAACCACTGCAGGAAAGCAGTGCTCTAACAGAAAGAATTCTAGTTTAGGAGATGGGAAGCTTCCCCATGTGCCTTTGGGCAGGCCGATAGAACCCTCTGAGCCTTCCTTTCTTCAGGTGTAAAGTAGTAGTAATAATTCCTACCTTGAGGGTTGTTGTGAGGAATAGATGAGATGTCACTTCATGGCAAAGTGTTTGGTCTGTGATAACCATCAGTAAATGGAGGCTGTCAAAAATAGATCACATGGGGGCACCTGGGTGACTCAGTTAAGTGTCTGACTCTTGGTCTTGGCTCAGGTCATGATCTTACGGTTTCGTGAGGTCGAGCCCCGCATCGGGCTCTGTGCTGACAGCATGGAGCCTGCTTGGGATTCTGTCTACCCCTCCTGTGTGCTCGCGTGCTCTTTCTCTCTCTCATACTTATTTGTTAACTTAAAAAAAATAGATCACATGAAAACACTTTATACCTTTTAAAGCACTGTATAAATATAAGGTGCTATTCTTAGCTAGGATTTAAATTTTTAAAACATCAGTAAGATGATGAATAGCTTCCAAATCAAAAGCGCATGTGTTATCAGAGTGGCAGGCAATCTTTCACCATAAAGGCGGTCAGTGATGCTAACAAAGCTGGCTCCTTGTCTGCAAACTGGCCTGAGTCATAAGGCAGGACCTGGTTCTGGTTTAGTTATATTGAGTGCTTTTTATCTGTGTTAGGAGTGAACTTTGAAGGAATGTTTTCTTTGAAACCGCTTGAAAACTTGAAAAGATGGCTCTAGTGTAGGTTTCTTTCTTCTTATTTTTTTCTCCTTCTTTACAGCCAAAGAAGCCTAAAGCCCCAGACAATCCATTTCATGGCATTGTTTCCAAGTGTTTTGAGCCTCATCTTTATGTGTATATCGAGTCCCAGGACAAGTGAGTGATGAACATTTTGCTGTTTTCTACTGTGTTTCCCCTCCCCTGGTCACGGGTGGGCCTCCTAAGGGCATGACTCCTTCCAGAAGCTGCAGGAGGGACTTGGCATGGTTCCTGTGACCCCCCCCCCCCCGCTGGAAACCTACTAAGGATATTCTTTATATCTTATGAATGTTATCACTTACTGTGTTCATAAATCATAGAAGCCTGAGTTTGACTCAAATAAGCTCCCAAATGGATCCCAACAACCCCTTCCCCTGTGGGCGCTGAGCGCTTATGTAGTTGCACGTCAGCCCACAAACCTTGACAACGTTAGGCACTGGAAACCAGAGAAAGAAAGCCTAATCTGTAATATATTTTTGAGTATCATTTGCTGAAGTTTTCATTGAAAAATAATGTAGACTTCACAGGAAAGCTATAAAAAAATCTTCATATATCCTTCCCCCAGAGAATGTGACCATTTTACATAACCACGGTTATCAAAATCAGGAGGGAATCGCTGTGGCATGAATGTCCATTTTCTGGCCTGAGATCCCATCGTGCATTTAGTTGTCAGGTCTCTTTAGTCTCCTTCAACCTTGAATATACCTCCTCAGTCTCCTGTTAGTCTCCCATGACCTTGACACTTCACAGAGCACTGGCAAGTTATTTTCTATATTTGTCCGATGTTTGCGCTTGATAAAATCCAGATTATTGCATCGTGGGCAAGTATACCGTAGAGGTGATGCTGTGTCCCTCTCAGTGCGTCGTAGCAGGAGGCACACTGTGCAGACCTGTCCCCTCACTGGTGGTGTCAGCTCTGATCACTTGCTTTGGGTAGTGCTCACCAGCTTTCTCTGCTGTGCAGCTACTGTTTTTCTCTTTGTAATTCATAAGCATCTCGTGGGGGGACACTTGGGGACTACGTAAATATCCTGTGTCTCCTCACACTTTGCCCACTCATTTTGACATACTTTGATGATTCCTGCCTGCAGCAATAATTTACTGTGGCGTCTGCCAAATGTTCATTTTCTGTTTCCATCATTTCTCCTGTATTAATTAATTGGATCTCTTCTGTAAGGAAACGCCTCCCCTTCTCCCTGCTGTGTGTGTGTGTGTGTGTGTGTGTGTGTGTGTGTGTGTGTGTGTGTATTTATGTCAGTAGGGACTGATGGATTCTTGCTTCCTTTTATGGATGATCAGCCATTTAATGTATATACTTTTTATGAACTCAGGGGCCCCCAGGACTTTTCCAAAGCAGCCCACCGCAGCCAAGTTTCCTCACAGCCAGGGAAGTATGTTCAAGCTCCAGTGTCCATAATTCACGCAAAGGAGGAAGACCCCTCCCCATCCTCTGTCCACAGCCAGAGGAACTATTGAAGCCCCTTCCATACGGGAAGGCAGAGTTTGGAAAGGTCAGGTTTCTGGAGACAGGCTGGCCTTGTAGCCTAAAGAACGCACTTGGGAGGACCAGACGATGGCTCACGCAGGGAGTGCAATAGCATTTGAGAAGTTCTCAAGAGTTCTCTGGGAAAGTGTTTAGGTGCTAAAACTTAGTTCTTTGTTTTTTGTTTTGAATCCTCCTGTTGTGGGCTAGCAAATTCTCATTTCCAAATATGTTTTGGAGGTAAACTGTAAGATTAAGAGACAATTTCAAGTGGAATCACTGCATGGAACATTATCATTATTCACCTATTTGGTTTTATAGATTGAGTCTACTCTTTTCCTCCCGGATTACAGAAAGTTTCATATTAAAGCCTTAGAAAATAAACTTTGTAGAAGAGCTTCTATATTAACAAAAACAACCTCCTGCCCCCTCCCCCCCAGCAATAGTTACTTTTACGTTTGGCCTTGTAAAGCCAGTCTGCCCCTCTATCCATTGTGCTCATGTCCGAAGGCACACAGAAAGGCAGTCATTAACTATTGCCATTTGCTCCTTTGAAACACCCTGTTTTCTGTGTAAAAAGTTTTTTTTCAGGATGTTAACAGGCCCCCTCGAGGGGCAGGGAGAAGATCAGTTGTTTGCCTATTAGAGTAACAGGTCTTAGACCACTTGGATGACTGTTTTTGGACAGAGCCCCGTCTTCTCTCATTAACCCAAACTCTTCTTTTTAAGAAGGTTTCAGAGCTGCCGGTCCCAGGTTTAAAGTGCATATATCTGAGACAACCACATACTTGCCCCAAACCTACCCGGTCTAGAGAGTCATTTTTCTGACTTATTATAATTCTGGTATCTACTTTTCTCACGTGGCCTTGATTCATGTAAAGTGTACTCATTGTTCACGGTATTTCGGGCTGAGAGCCAGACCTCCCTTCATCAGGGACTCTCCATTTCTCTGTGAAAAATGAAGTGCTGGCCGTTCAGCCTGCCGTTTGGCCTCACGCGGATGTTTCCACAGCGCCAGGGAAGCAGCAGAAGCTGCCGGAGGAGAACCGCGTAGGCTGTGCTGTTGTTGCTCCAGAATAAGCAACAGAGGCTTGAAGGAGAAACTAAGAGTTCAAGAAATCCATTTCCTCATCTTTTAAAGCAGAGAATCAGGCAAAATAATGCCTAGAGCTGTGGTGATTAACCTTTTTTGAGTCATAGATCCCTCTGAGAGTCCGATGAAACTGTAGGCTCTCTTGCCAAAAAAAAAAGAAAGAAAGAAAATCACATGAACCCACACACTATCATGAGTACAGTTTCAAGGGATTCTACAAAGCCCTTTCTCCCTTCTGTCCACGAGTCCTCAGCTGGGGAAGAGACTCAGGTGGGGACCGATCTCGTACATATTACATTTTTGTAGCTCTGACTCAGAAATCTGCAAGGGAGGAGAATCTTAGACCATTCACAAGCTCCCAGGTGGCAGAGAGCCAGCGCAGTGCTCTGGAGAGAGCGTGGGCCTGGATGCCAGACAGACCTGGATTTGAGTCAGAGCTCCTCACTCACTAGCCTGGGACCTCAGGCGTGGTACCTGACCTCTCTGAGTTTGTTTTGTCCTCTTTACAGCAAAGTCAGTAATATTCCCCTCACAGGATTAATGGTGAGGATGAGTTGAGATGACATGTTGGCATTTGGCACAAGTGGTCTTATTCCGGACTCTTAAGCAGTTGGGTGGCCTGATCAGCATTGCCAGCTTTTCGTGGGGCCTGGCATGGGGTCTGCCATCTCCTCTCCCCAGCCTCCCTCCTGCCTAAGGAAAGTTCTGGCAGCGCCTGCCCTAACCAAAAGCCAAACAGTAGTGGGAGGACCGCAGAGCCAGCACCTGGTGAGGGGGCAGGAAGCAGGACATTTCCCACAGCCATCTCAGCAGGCTGGGCAAAGCTGTCCTTCTGTGCATTGGGTGGCTTCCTCCAATTTTGTTTATGTTCAAGAAGGAAGTTAGTATAACTTTTTACCCTTGGGAATGTTGTGTTTTTCTCTGGCTGACTCTTGGCAATTTCTCTATGTAAACACTGCCTTCAAATTGTAGGCAAGAGGGCCCCAGTACCCCTTAATACGCCAGTGTGCATTTCCTACAAATAAGGGCACAGTCTACCTGATCACAGTACACCTGCGAACCTCAGGAAGTCACCTGATCCACCATTACCGTTTAATTCGCGGACTCCATTCCTCTTTCCCAGCCATCCCAATGAGGTCTTTTCTGGACCCGAATCTGCACCAGAATCCTAGGATGCATTTATTTGTCCTGTCTCTTTGGTCCCTTCCATCCAGAAAAATAACTCATTCTTTCTTTATCTTTCACGACCTTGAAATTTTTGAAGAGCACAGGCCAGTTAGTTTGTGAAAGACCCCCTCAGTCTGCATTTGACTAATGTATCCTCATGATTTACGATTTATGCAGAAGTAGTGCCGGATTCTTCTCAGAAATTCATGTCAGGAGGCACACGGTGTCAGTTTGCCCTACAGCTTGTGGCGTTCATCGTTATTACTTTAGATGGAGTCTGCCAGGTTTCTCTATTTATTAATAAGTCATTAATAATTAATAAGTGTCAGGAGAAACGTTGAAACCACATAAATAGTCTTTTTCTCATCTTTCACCTCCCACTGCTACTTGCCTGAGTCATTTATTCGTAAGATAGTTGCCAAATGATCATTTTTCTAATACCACCATTTCTTCTACATTATGAGTTGGCATTATATTTTAAGAAAAAGCTTTCTCTTTTCCTCATTTATTATATCAGCACGTACGCATGGATTCCTATTTTATTCAATGGGTTATAGCCTTTATTACCTTTTTTTAAGCTTATGTTGGAATAAATTTAAACCTACATAAAAATTTCCAGAGTGGTGCAGATTCCCCCTACTCCCCTCTCCCAAGTTCTCCTAATGTTAATGTCTTACGTAACCATAGAACAGTTCTGAAAACCAGCAAGTTAACACTGGTACAGTACAGCTTACTAAACTCGGACCTTATTTGGATTTCACTGTTTTTTCCACTAATGTCCTTTTTCCCTTTCAGGATCCATCATTATTTTAATGCTTAAATTGTCCCTGATTTGGCCATTGGAACCCCTCCAAGCTGATTTTTCGTGCTATTTTGCAGGCTCCTGTCATTTCTGGGGCAATTCCCTTCTGGCACAACAAAATATACCAGGCTCATCTTATACTTTCCCACCCCAGCCCTGGAGTTATCCATTTTTCCAGGATCCCTTGTTTCTTTGGTGGGAATGAGATTTAGAAACTAAGTTCTGGGCATCAGGTATGTTCATGACTCCTTGGATGTCATGCTTCTAGATCCTTATCCCTGAGAGACCTAAGAGATAGATGTAGGTGTACACATGTGTGTTTAAACACGTGCATCTGTATCTGTTTTTATACCAGCATATGTTAAAATCTGTGAATTTATGCTGATAACTCCAATTCTACTCCAACACCGCAGGATTTATTTTAGCCTCCCCCTTTTTTCGTCTATAACAACTACATTCTGCAGCAGTGAGAAACTTGGCCCCCCGGATCTTCCGTGTATTTATTTATTTGCTCCATTTACCTGTGTGTAGTCCATCTCCCACTTGTGCTCAAGCCATACCTTGGCTCCCCAACCCCACTGGCCACATCAGAGCCAAATCATTGGCCCCAAACTAAGGGCAGAGGAGGGAGGGGTGCAGATTGGTTTGAGTACCCTCAATTTAGCAAGTTCTATAACTTCCTGGGGATCTGAAGCTGCCTTGCCCATGCTCCCCTCCTGGACAGCTCTGATCGCCTGCCGTCTGCCCCTCCCCATGCTGTCACCACTCTGCCTTCCATTTAGAGTATTGTTGTTAGAGATGCTGACTGCAGATCCACCAGAAGAAACGGCCCTCGTCATTCCCTTACTAATACTGCTCAGCACTGGTCTTTCTTCCTGAGTCATTTCATCGATCAGCGCAACCCCCAGCAGTAGTTTGCGTGGGGCCCTGACATTCTCGGACATCTTGGTCAGAAAGCTCAAGCTACGGGGAGGGGGTAGAAGATACCTTCCACATCCGTGACATGTGGCGTAAGCTGGTGAGAAGGTGAATAACAGCACCAGGCACGATGCCATCTCTCTGTGTAGTGCTTTAGTGTTGGAAAGTTGGAGCATGGCATAGTGGATGGAGCTGGGCTCGGGGGTCACATCCCCAGGCTGATTCCAGCGCCGACAAATTCCGTGACCTAGGGCAAGTCATATTCTTTTTCTCAGCCTCGCTTTCTTCATTTATAAAATGGAGATCATCATGCCTTCCCTTCAGGGCTGTTGTGAGGATTACAAGAGATTGAATTTCTAATGCACCCAGCACAATGCCTAGTTTATAGGCTTAGGGCCCCGTGGGAGATGGTGGTACCTGGCGTGAAGACGTGAGGCTGGCAGCACTTTGCTGTGGGAGTTATAGAGGAGTGTATAAATCAAACTGTAGGTCAGACTTCTCCAATTTGTGACTTCCAGCTTAGCCATGTCCCCTCCTCCTTACATCCTCCCTTCCACACATCATAATCCGAGCTTACTTTTGACTCCGTACCTTTATTCTTACCTGAGTCTGCTGTGAAATTTACTCTCTAGCTACCTCTAGTTTCCTTTGTCAGAAACAAATTGTTCGCATTATCCATACTGCAAAATTAGCATTTTGTTGCTATCTCCAAATCGAAATAAGGGCTAAAAAAGATCAAAGCTTCTGGTAGGCAGATGCTATCTTAACCCCTGCACCCTGCCACACCTTGATCAGGACTTGACCCTTTATAAACTCTTACTGGATTGTACTTGCTTTATGGTGTAAAAGACACCTCCTTGTGATTCCAGTTAGCAGCTCAATATGCCACAGCACACCTTTCTCACTCAGGCTAGTGTTTGATACCTGGAAGAAATGACAACTTTTGCTTTTTGTTTCTTTTGTTGATCTCCTTCCTATGTATGGCACACAGAGCCCAGAGCCTTGCACATACTAAACGCTCGGCTAGAAGTCGACTGGACTAAACCGTCTATGCTGTGATATGTCGATCACTCGTCTTCCCGTGTCTCGTGTGGCACAGAGCACGCACATGCAGAGAGTGGAGATTAAAGGGAGGGACGCTTATTCTAACGGGTTTATATCTTGTCCACACAGAAAGCAGTGTCAGAAGTAACCTGGGAGATGGCCTGCAGTGTATGAGAGGTCTTTTAAAGGTTTTTTTTTTTTTTAAGTGGGAATTTTCTTTATGCTTTATGAGTGTAAGTAGTTAATAATCTTATTGATCGAGGTGGCTCTGAAATAGAGGCATTTGAGTAGGTATTCTGACTTCAGCTGCCAGGGGAATTGGATGAGTCGTTAAAGTAAAAACACTTTGGAGCTCCGGCCCCTGTTTTGGTTGGCAGTAGAGATTTGGAAAGTAGAATCTCTCCTAAGAAGATTCCAGTGGAACCCTTGGCTTCCCTAGGACATGCCCTTCCCTACTGCACCAGCCACTGCCCCGCCTCCACCCTCCCACCTTCCTGTTCCCATCTGTCAGGAACAAAGCATGGGGCCGGACCAGCTGCATGCGTACTGGGCGCCAACATAACTGAAAAATGAACTTCACACATAAACATGAGAGGTGGGCCTAGGGAGAGTAGAGTTCCTGGAAATATTATTCCCTCTCTTGAGGAGCAGATGATAACATATGAATTGGAGAAGACTCTACTCTGTAGCAAGCACCTTTCACCTTTTGTACCAACTCCAGCTTATTAGAAGTGACTGGCTAGAATGCTCTCTCAAGAAGGATCCTGAAGTTACACCAAAGATCAATGCAAAAGAGAGCCGTTATCAAGAGCATTGCCTGTTGTTGGCCCAGGATGGGAGAAGGTCGTCATGTTTCTTGAACATTTGAAATCCTTACGATGTACGGTAAAGTGTAAAAAAAGAAAATAATGAGAATACAGTGTCAGTGTGTTGCAGATGGCAGAGTCGAAATTGAGACAGAGGAATGGTGTGAGTAGGAGTTGTCTGGGCGAGCCCTGAGCTGAGCCTGAGGGTGAGTGGGGAGGTGGCCGGAGAACATCTTGGCCAGGGGAGGCACCCAGGCAAAGGTCCAGAGTCAGGGATGGAGGTAGAACAGGGCGCAGGGAAGGGGACTCAGGCTAGAGCGGAGGGTCACTATGGAGGAGAAGTGAGAGATTAAATGGAGAAGGTGGGGCAGGAAGAGGTGGTGAGGAATGGGGTGGTGTCCCCGCAGCTTTCAGGGTTAGCCCACAAGGTCTTCCCCTGCTTGCCATCACCACAAAGAGCCAGCCGAGGCCTGAAGTCCTTTGAGGGCAGAGTGGCTACATCTGGATATAATAAACTTTCAATAACAAAAGCTCTTGAGTAAAATGTCAGTTTTCTCCTCTTCCTGCTAGTTGATGCTGTGTGTGGTTCTTGTCTTTTTCTTCCTGTTATATAAATACATTTTGAAAGCACAGCTGTTGGGGTGCTTGGGTGGCTCAGTCGGTTAAGCGTCCGACTTCAGCTCAAGTCATGATCCCATGGTTTGTGGGTTCAAGCCCCGCGTCGGGGTCTGTGCTGACAGCTCAGAGCCTGGAGCTGGGCTTTGGAGTCAGTATCTCCCTCTCTCTCTCTCTGCCCCTCTCCCGCTCATACTCTGTCTCTTAAAAATAAACGTTAAAAAAAATTAAAAGCACAGCTGGATTCTTGTAGCCTTAGACAGCAGCCTAGAAGATAAAATGTCAAGGGGTGGAGGGGACCCCTCCCATTTTTCATACAGCACAACCGTGCAGGAAGCAGTGAGTAGAGCCCCACTGGATCGTAGCTACGATGAGTCGACACGGCTAAGCAAACTTAGTGATGTTCAAATGGGGAATGGGGACAGCTACAGCCACCCTCCCCATTGTGACCTGCTACAAACGTGGGGCTGCCATAACCTGCTTTCTCCTAGGAGTTTTTACACCTTTGATTCTGGAAATTTTAAGAAGAAACTGCATCAAAAACAGCAAGAAAGCATTAGAATTCTTTATAGTTTCTCTTTGTTTTGGCATCTACCTCGTGGGCATGTTTAGGTTAATGATATCAAAATATTTGCTGACATCATAACCTTTTTGTGTTTTCGGAGGTAGGAAGGTAGACGGGCTAAAAACATGAGGTTTGAGCCAGGCTTTTTGGTTTTGAACTCTGGCTTTCTCCAACCCTTTTGCTGTGTGACCTTCGACAAGGTCCTTGCCTTCTCTGCACCTTCCTTTTTGAAAATGAGGACAGTAATAATATGTACCTCATAAAGTTAGTGTGCAAATTAAGTGAAATGCAATGAAGTTAACACTTAGAAACTGCTGACATGGTATGTGCCTGGTATATATATATCATCAGCGTTCAAACCATGATCTCTGTCATTACTTACAGTTTTCATTTGTGGAGAAGGGAAATGATACTTAATATGGTAGCAGATTCTAGGCTCAGCTCTGCCACTAAATTATGTGACAGACTTTCTAGACCTTAATTTTTTTCATTTCTTAGAGGGTACAAGAATACCTTATCTCTCTCACAGAGGCTTGGGGTCAAATGTGATCATGAAATGCCTTGAAAAATATAAAGCAGGCGCGTCTGGGTGGCTCAGTCACTTGAGCGTCCGACTTTGACTCAGGTCATTATCTCACGGTTCGCGGGTTCAAGCCCCGCGTTGGGCTCTGTGTGGAGGGCTTAGAGCCTGGAGCCTGCTTCAGATCCTGTGTCTCTCTCTCTCTCTGCCCCTCCCCTCCTTGCTCTCTGTCTCTCTGTCTGTCTCTCTCTCTCTCCCTCTCTCTCAAAAATCATAAACGTTTACAGGCACATTGGTGGCTCAGTTGGTTGAGCATCCGACTTTGGCTCAGGTCATGATCTCGCAGTTTGTGAGTTCGATCCCTGCGTCAGGCTCAGAACCTGGAGTCTGATTCGGATTCTGTGTCTCTGCCCCTCTCTGCCCCTTCCATGCTCATGCTGTATGTCTGTCTGTCTCTCAATAGTAAATAAACATTAAAAAAATATTTTTTAATCATAGACTTTTTTTAAAAGATAAGCATAAAGCAGCACACAAATGCCAATTCTTGCTGCTGTTACTGTAAGCTGGTGATAGTTAATGAAGTCAACTGATAAAAATGGGTCCGATTTTAAATGTAAAACACATGAGGAATGATTTACTCATGGCAGTCAAGCACGTTTGCTTTATCTTTCTTGAAATAACATGGCAGGTTTTCTTCCTCCTAGAAACCTTGGAGAGCTGATAGATCGGTTTGTGGCCGATTTCAAAGCCCAGGGACCACCTAAGCCCAACACTGATGAAGGGGGTGCCGTGCTCCCCAGCTGTGCTGACCTCTTTGTCTACTACAAGAAGTGCATGGTGCAATGCTCTCAACTCAGTACTGGGGAGCCGATGATCGCTCTGACCACCATTTTCCAGAAGTACCTCCGAGAATATGCGTGGAAAATCCTCTCCGGCAATCTGCCCAAGTGAGTGCTATTCTTCCTGGTCCAAGTGGTGAAGTAAGATTCTGAGTATACCTAAATATGGGAATATAAGGAAATCTACTCTGAAACGGTTTGCTGAACCACTAAGAGCGTCAAGGAGAAAAACACCCTTACTGAGTTCCCAAGAGCCTGAGACTATTTCCTGTTGAATGGAATTCCACAGCTGATCAAGACTGTTAGAGGAGGGGGCGCCTGGGTGGCTCAGTTGGTTAAGCGTCCGACTTTAGCTCAGGTCACGATCTCATGATTTGTGGTTCGAGCCCCGCATCGGGCTCTGTGCTGACAGCTAGCTCAGAGCCTGGAGCCTGTCTTTGGATTCTGTGTCTCCCTCTCTCTCTCTCTCTGACCCTCCCTTGCTCATGCTGTCTCTCTTTCTCTCTCTCTCTCTCAGAAATAAATAAAACATTAAAAATTAAAAATTAAAAAAAAAAAAAACTGTTAGAGGAAATGCCCACGCTGGCCACCAGCCTAGGTCAGATCTTACCGCAGTGGACTCTAGGGAGTTGGCCCATTATGTATATCTTTAATTGACATGGGTTCAGCAATAGGTTGTTGCCACCAAAAAAAAAAAAAAAAAAAAAAGGTGGTGGTAGTAGTAACTTTTAAACAACGTAGGCAGTTTCACTCAATGAGATCTTGTCCTGGGATAAGCATACAGGAGGCATGAATCTCCTTTTCCCTTGAGCTGAGTACATTCCAAAGTCTCTTACTGTGAGTGTTTCTTGCTATACTGGGGACAGAGTCTAATGTTTAAAGATCTGGTAGGTTTTGGGGGAAGGGGGTGGCGTGGCACAGCCCCTAATTATAGTGACTTCACTGTATGCATTTTGGGACATTAGAATACTGTTATATTCTTAATGGAAATAAATGGGTATTTGACTAGAGTTTAAAGATTTTTGGTTCTATAACAATTTCAATTATAATTATACAATCTAAAGTGATGCTTTGGAACTTAGTATTTATAAATCATCCCCATGGCCAAATTCAATAATTCTGGAATTAGTTGCTATTGTTTTCACTAAAATGTGTTGTATATGGGACTTTTACGTTATTTGGAGGAAAGAAAATAAAATCCCTTTGCTCTAGCCAGAGATTGGAAGTAAAAGATATATTTCACCAATGAGAATTTCTTTGACCATGATAGTAACATTTTTAAAATTTCTAATAACTTTTATTCTGGTCATCAGAATAATAGAAGTTCATTATAGTTTAGAAAACACAGGAAAGCACAAAGACAGAAATAAAAGTCAGCTACCATCTCACCACCCAGAAGAAATAAATCCAACATTTTGGTGTATGTTTTTCTGTTTTTTACTTATATATGTAATGTGTGTGGTTTTGTGCTTTTGTTCGTTCTGCAGTGCTGGGACGATACAGCCGGTAGTTTTACACCCTGCAGCTTTCACCCAGCATCAGCCTGTGAGCATTTCCCCGTGTGTCACAGCAGGAACGGTGTACTCTGCTAGGGTGTCGTTAGCAAAGCAGCTATTCACAGAAACGGGGGCAAGGTGAAAGGCACCAACACAGGATTCTGAAGCATCCAAAATCTAGGGAGTAATTGTTAACTACTTTAAAACTCCTTTGAGAGCCAGGGCTATGGACGAAGGGCAGTCCCACAGAAGATGGAGGGCCACGGTCAGGGCCAGCACCACATTGAAGCAGAAGGAGCAGGAGACCTTGTTAGTCCTCAGCCGTCTCTCTCCTCTACCTCTCGAGCCTGGGTGATAGGTCTGAAGAGGTCAGTCTCCTGAGCCATAGAGAAGGGAGGAGAAGAGCAACGAATGGGTCTGGAAGGCCGACAGGGACCATTTAGCACGAGTACATCGTCATCAAAACACTTAATGAGGTCATGCTAATCCAGCGTACAGAAGACCTCACTTAACTTCTGAACTTCTTCTTGATCATTCCCTTAACTTATCTTTTAGGTTGGGTTCACTATTTCAGTATTTTAAACACTCAGAAAAGCATCCTTGAGCAAGAGTAGAACCACTGGGTCAAATAGTGTGAACGTGTTTTTTAAGCTCCTGAAATCTACCTCCTGAAGGTTGTACAGTTCAGTGCTCCTGACCCATAGTGCAAGAGGGTGTCAGTGTCCTCACAACCCTCGGAAGTGCTGGAAATTAAGATATTTTCAAAGCTTTGATTCCCAGTAAGACTGGGAAATTTTAGGGTTACCCTTTTTAACATTTTATTTTTAAGGTAGATGTCATTGAGTTCTGTCTCCTTTTAGAAAACTTAGAATCTCACAGTTAAAATACCAGAAGGTTTTATAACTGTATTTTTACATTTTGTGGACACGTGGCTAGATCAGAAGGAAGGCATGAGGCAGTCAGGGCTTTGGGTAGGACCCATGCCTTAACATTCCCTGTGGTACCCCTCCACAAACACAGCGTGCAGATTCCTGTGCAGAATTTCCTCAACCCAGAAGGGCAATTGGAGAACCAGCTTTTGTGCTATAGATGATCCTGTCGAACTCTCCAGATCGGGAGATTCTTTTTTTTTTTTTTTTTTTTTTTGAGTTGCTAGTTGATTTTAATTTTATATTTTTAAATATTTTAATACTTTATATTAATTTATAGTTCACTGAGTTACTCGTGAGGGTAAGAGGTAGATTTTGTTTTTTTTTTTTTTTAATTATTCACATCTATTTTATTTTTTTATTTTTTTATTTTTTACAAATAGTTTATT